GACCTTTTGACCAGTCCATGTGTCATGACACGTCATCTTCAATATTTAGATTCAGTTTTTTCCCAATACAACTATGTCACATAAAAATAAAGAAATATGTCCCCTAAAGTGCAGCCATGTGAGGAGCAACTTTATTGGACAATTGCCTAATTCAATATCAGTACATATATACAAGGAACACAAAGTGTTATATGGTTTTGATTAGCAGCTTCCTTGCTCTTTCTTTTTCCTTTTTTACTTTCTAAACATACATTGGATGTCAGGTGCGACTGAAAATCCGACCAAGATTGTTGGCATATATAGTTATTAAAGATGAAAAAATTTAGTTAATATTTTTGCAACCTGTACATATTACATTTGTTCCTCATCAATTGTATAATAATTTTCGAAGAAATTTATAACGTTCTATTGAACTATTCCATTCTTTGCCCATAAAAGTTTTCAAATTGAATGCTCAATTTCTTTCGCAATCCACCAATCTTCTTGAACTGAATTTTTTTTAATAGACGTTGTTCTTTCTTCTTAGTGTTACACGTCATTTATTTATTTATTTCCATTTTTTAGTGTTAAAGGTTATTGTTGAGTACTCGTAGAAAATGATGACCAGGGACAATTTTGGTTATCATTGAAGTGGGCATGCTGCACGTGCATTTGTAAAAATTGCAGGGCCGCCCTATTTGGTCGCCCCTATTTAACCTATACCTATTTTTTTTAAAAACTTTTAATTTGTATCCACTTTTTAAACAATTTCAGCTCCCTTTCTCCCCCCTTCTCCTCCTTCATTTTCTTTTTTCTTCTTCTACAACGATGACTTCAACATTGCTCTCTTTGATTAATGAAGCTAAAGCAAATATACTAAGCATATTACTCTCGTTGGCATGGAGGATGACTTCAACGACATAAGATATTAAGTTTTGTACCAGCCAAGCAAATCCATACAACATAGCCACCAGTTTCTATAATTTGATGAAATAAATAACTTGATGCATAGAAATTTGTGAAGAATCTTGTCATTGTTCCATTGTATGATTCTTCTAGTGACCATGGGATGGCACGAAACAAGAACTGTGAAGTAACTTGGGCTGGAAACAGATGAAGTAAAGTAAGTCAGCCTCATCCTTGAAATACTTTTGTACTCCTAAAAGCAAGTGAAAACCTTTTATGAAAAAAGAACCGACATACATATATACATGCTATCGCATAGTTATGGAAGTTACAAAGACAAAAATTTCAGCTCTAGAGCTAAAGTTTTCCAGTTACATCACAAAAATTTCAGCTCTAGAGCTGAAGTTTCCAGTTACAACACAAAAACTTTAGCTTAGAGCTGAAGTTTCCCGGTTACGACACAAAAACTTCAGCTCTAGAGCTGAACTTCAGACCCAGCTACTAGGATGCTGAAGCTTTGCGTGATTGCCTTTGCTACTTCAGCCCCGTGTGCTGAAGTTATGCGAAAAAGCGGGTACGCTTGCAATTTTTTGCAAAGCAGGCACAAGTTAAAATATGACACAAAAAGCGGGTATAGATGCAAATGCCCCCGTGCATTTGGGCTTTGGGACCCAAAGGTTACCACTACAATTGACGTGAAATTAAAAAAAATAGTCAGATTTACAAGTGGTAATTAAAAATAGTCATAATTTCAAAAGTTATTAAAATTTAGTCACTTTTCATGTAAAAATAAATCTGAACGAAAACAGTGTTCAAAATTCAGAAAATATTTTAGCATAATATATTAGAGTTCGAATTTTTTACATGTGAACTTCCAGCATAATATAATAGAGTTTCAACATACTTAATATATTGGAAGTTCGTACACAAGTGCTCCAATCTCCAGTATATTATACTGGAACTTTTCATGTGCTGGAGTTCCAGCATAATATACTGGAAGTTCATAAACATGTGCACCAATCTCCAGTATATTATGTTGGAATTTCCCGTGTTGCAGCAAAATAGTGGTTATTTTTCAATGACTTTACAAACATTGGCTATTCTTCAATTACTAGTTCGAAAACTGACTAGCCCGTATTATTTTCACGACAATTGACGAATAATATTTATTTTGATGGTAAATGAAGTGTCTACCAAAATGACGACGAAAAAGTATATGTAGAAGCAGAATTTTACATAGTCGTAAAAATAATTGCCATAATAAGCTCAACCTTGGTAAATCTGCAGCATCTTTTTGTTATTTAAAATTTGTCAAACAATTACTTCTATTAATCTCATTCTATCACTTTGTCCTTGTTGTCCATCACCTTAAAGAAATAATATCCTCAAAATTTACTTGTTTCTGCTTCCAAAGTCACTAGCAATCCTTTCGGGAATTCCAAATATGGATACAACATTGGATGATCATCTTCTTTCGCTGTCCACCTACACAATTGATAAATATTTTATTAGATAAAATAGAACTTAAGATAAGAACATATCAAAATTTAAATTAACATTGTAACTACATATATATATTTGAACAAATTGAGTCATTTTGCCATCTCTGATTATAATACCTATAATTAATGACAAGATGGTGTAGGAATAAAGCTGCTTCCAATTTAGCAAGTTCCCATCCTGGACATAGCCGCAATCCACCACCAAATGGGATCACCTTCTTGCTTGTGGTTGGATCCTGAAAAAGGGATTTTAATGTATCGTCTGTAAAAAAGTATTACTCGAAAAGTAAAAAAAAAATTACTTACAGCCCATCTCCAAGGATTGAATTCTGATGGATTTTGATGTAGGGATGGATCAAGATGTACAGCGGACAAGATAGGAAGAACTTTCCATCCTGCTGGTATATGATATCCTGCACTTCCATCACATTGATAAAGAAACGAACATTTAGATGACTATGTATATAGTGGATATAATCATCAAATTTAATTTTGAAATGATTATATGTATATATGAATAATGTGAATGATTTAAATTAAAGTAGAAAACTGAGTGTTGGAAGCAATAAGAAATCTTATATGACTTTTTGTTAACAAACCTTTGAATTCTACATCCTTGATAGCTTCCCTGTGAACAAACTTCACCAAGTTGCCACAACGTAGAGTCTCATTAATGACCTAAATTATAATAAGATTTTAGGTGCATTAATCTTGTATAAAATAATTGCAGATCAATAATCTTGATAAATATGTAATTAGAAACCTCATACAAATAATAAATAACTTACTATCATCATCATCATCATATCTTAAACTATATTTATAGTCTAAAAATCCCTAAAATTAAATTTTTTATTTCTTAGCTCTTAATGTAAGTGCGTACTATAAAAGTCCAAGAGACAATCGTTCATATCAATATATAAGCAATTGATTAGTTTTAATTGAAAGACTAGATTTACGAATATTTACCATACTGGTGAATTTCATTTGCTTATAATCTTCCCAGTTTATGGGTTCCCCTTCCTCTTTCTTTCTCCTTAATGCTCGATGTTCATCCTGATCATATGATGCATATATGTTAATATTGGTAGTTATATTATCTTAAAAATTATAAAGGGGTCTTGTTATTTTAAATGGACTTAAAACGAAGAAATGGGGGAGTATTAATTCAAATAAGGTTTTCCTTTACAAATTGACTTTAGGCCATCAATTTTATAAAGCCGCCCTACTAGTAATGTGTTTGAAGATCAAGTTAAAATGAGTTGTGCTTTCTTATACCTTCAAGTAATGGAGAGCTTTTGGTGATTGGGCAAGAAAATAGACGAGTAGGGACAGAAGTCCTGAGGTTGTTTCATAACCAGCCAACAGAATGTCTTGTAAAATGCTTACTTTCTCCACATCAGTTAAGTGTTCTTTGAATAAATTCTCATTAAAAATGGCTAGCTCATTAATCCTCAAATCTTTTCTCTTTTTTCTATCTTTCACTACTTGCTTCAAGGTGGACGAGATCCTCGTACGAGCCTGCGCGGAGAGAATGAATCAATTGTTAAATCCGGAGTGTTTGGTAAGACTGAAGTTATTTTTCAAAAAATTTGACATAACTTTTTGGTGTTTATTTGTTGGAGAGTGAAAATATTTTTTAAAGATTAATAATAAAATTAGCAAGCTTGATAGTATTTTTTGATAAAATATTTGATTTTTTTTTTTGGTAATTAAAGAACTTTCATTTCTCAGAAATATTTACAAACAATCAAGCTTAATCTGGACATAAGCCCCAGATTTTAGCTTTTCATTTCCCTGGCCTCAGTTCTAACTACTAACTACAAGAAACATTTCATTGTACAAAATTTGAATGTTAAAAATTTACAAAAATGGCCAATTGTTAGTTAAAGCAGAGACATAAAGTTAAGAATTGAAATAATTGTGAAGAAAATAATTTTCGCCCAAAAGTGAGGAAAGTCATTTTTTCCCTTTTGGTAATTTATTTTTTAAACACAAGAAAATAACTTATTTTCCGAAAGATATTTTTCAAATAATAATTTTTGTCATATCAAACACACCAACAACAACAACAACAACAACGACCCAGTATTATCCCACAAGTGGGGTCTGGGGAGGTAATATGTACGCAGACCTTACCCTTACCCCGAAGGGTAGAATATCAAACACACCAAAACATAAAAAACAGTAAGAGCACCTTAAGAGCCTTGGCATAGGATGTCCAAGGAAAGTTTATTGGAATGGACACAAATCCTTTCATGAAAGTCAAGAAATCTTCTAATAATTGCAAAGCTAGTGGCTCTCCAGGTTCCATGTCCAGTACATTCATCAACATCAAATTAAAGCTAAACTGCAAATACAAACTAAATTTGTTCAAAAATATTTATCGTTATCGAAAATTAACAAGTAAATTAATATCAAATAATATTGACCAAAGGTACGTAGTACGATATTATTTTCTTCCTGAACCTGTTTAGCTTCTTTTGATAAGAGAACCACTTGATTTCCTCTCCATGATTCCATTAACGAGCTACATAACTTATCAACACGATCGACAAAATCGGGTTTGCACTTGAATTTATTGATGAGGCCAACTTCAATACTTCGGAATTTTTTGTGAAGATCACCAGTGGCAAGAATCAAAGAGTGTTTGCCAAGAATGTCTCTAACAGATTTAGGGTAGCTGCTTTGGAACAACCTGCCTTCATTCTGAAGGACAAATGTGTTGAACTCTAAGTCACATGAAACAATGGTTGGAGAGCCAAAAAGATTGGATTTGAATACTTTTCCATATCTGAAATAAGCCAAAAAAAAAAAAAAAAACATATCTTGAGCACAATTAGAGGTGACAAAATTAATATATTTTTTTGTAACTCGCTCAACTTGTTCAAGTTTTAATGGATTGGATGTTTTTAGACTTGATCCGGTTGAGCCCATAATTGATTCTCAAATTATTGGGTCAAAATAGGAACAATGAAACTGTATAGCCGCTATAAAAATAATAGCCAAAAGATTTATACAATTTGTATTTTTTTTTGTATATAAATATTTTGTATGTTATATACAAAAATTATACAAATTTTATACACTTTTCAGCCACCAAATATAAATAATTTCTTGTGCGGGCTAAAAGTGATAATACCATGTCAAAATACAACCCAAATCCAAATATCTATATATATATATATATTAAAGCAAGAAAGTTACCATATATAATTGACATTATGGTTAAGCCAAGTGGCAAGCTAATAAATGTCCATAGTATATGGTAACTTTATTCTATATTTGACTATTTTAGTTTTTTTTTTTATATATATACGGAATTTAAATTAAAAGATAATTTTGAATTTATAGATAAAGTTCTAAAATTCGAATTTAAATTAAAAATAAAATTTATCTTTTTTTTATCATGTTATCATACTTAATTTGGTTAATGATCATATGCAATCATGTTAGGAACTTTTAATATTTTTATAATTATTTAAATACTACTTCGCCTCTAGCAAAAAAAAAACTACTCCATATAACTATAAAACTCTTTCACATTTAAAATCCTATAAATATAGTTCTTTGAAACACTGTAGCTAGATTTGAATAAAATGAAATTCTTTTAAAATAAATATAATATATAGGGTACACGTCTATGTTTATCTAAATAACAAAAAAAGAGTTTACAAAACCAAATAAAAGTTTACTTACATATATAATAAAGTAAACATACATGCTGGTGAAAGAAACATCACAAAATCAGTCAATATTAAAAAAAAATTGTTTCTTTTTTCTTATTGAAGAATATTTGTTTAAAGGGTCAATTTGCATAAATGGACATCAAACAAATAACAAAACTTTGGCTATACAATTGCTATCATTAATTTCAATTTAGCACATTCAAGGAATTGAAGGGTATAAGCTGAAACCCCTTCATTTAGCTGTAGTCAAGCCAATATTGCACGGCTGTAATATTTTTTTCGTTGAAGAATATTAGTTTTGAATATAAAAAAGATAATCTGAAAGGTTATGTGAAAGGTTTTTTTTTCAAACTCAACAAGAGATAATCTGGTTTCTAATTGATAGTTTCTATAGCGACTTTTAAGTGTAACAAAGAGTATATATAAAGAAAAAAATGGTATGAAGTGGAATAATTTTTTTTAAAAATATAAACAAATTATTTTGAAAAAACTCTTTACTTTTTTTAATTCAAAGATAATAAAAAGATAAGATATTTTTGAACATTATTAGAGAGTTTTAAAATTATTATTATAGAAGTTACATCGTGGATAAACTCAAAAAACTAAAATCTTATGGAACATTTACATAATATCCGGCCATATTTATTATTTATTTTTTATAGCTAATATAAATAGATGATATACCGACAACACACGATTATACACACATTTTATATGGATTATATATAAATTATACATCATTCAATTTTTTAATTTAAGTGGTCGGGTTAGCACCTATTTAAGCTGATTAGAAAAAGTCAAAAGAAAAATATGAAATAATTTCAACAAAAGACTAAAAATATAATTAAAGTTCATATGTAGACAATTTTTATTAAAACTCATCCTTTTATAGTGCAATAAATTATTTTTTGTAACAAAAGAAATAATGACATAAAAAATAAGATAAAAGAAAATAAATATTGAAAAAAATATTATAATGATCTAAAAACAAGAAATAAAAGATGACAACAAATTTCTTCTTATGTTTCATCTTTGTTGAGTATAAAAAGTTTGAAAGTTAATCTCATTGATTTCAAATATATTTTTTCAACTCAAATACATAGATTATAAGACAAAAATATCTTCAAATATTTTTTTTAATTTACATTATGTGTCATTTTTAAAAAATCACTATTACTAACAAACTGATATGATATTCGAATTTGAATCGGAATGCAATTTGAGTAGTTTGCATTGATCTTAAGCCAAGTATGGTATCGAAAAATAAACCACATGACAACTTTAAGACGGTGTATGCAATGTTTTATAATAATAATCAACTAATTTAACATTTAATGATTCAAAAATAATTTTTTTGTATATATAGGGTATTAAAACTTTAAATTCTGGGGCTAGAGATATCGATAAACTTAAAGTGGAGTCATACTGAAATAAATCCGTCCAAAGAATCATTTAAATTTTTAGATAGCCGATTAANACATATAATTCAAATAACTCAAATATTTAACATGATTAATGTCAAATATCAAAATGGAGTAAAAAAATTCACTAGCTAAAGAAATATTTTTAGATAGCCAACTAAAATGATTTTAGAATTAAGAATAATATTTTCAATTACATTATTATAAAAATAATGTTTTAGAAACCAAAATTTTAAGAAAAAAATATTTTTTAAGAGATACCACACACCAAATAAGAATTTTAAGTAGTAGTAAAAGAGTTAAGTCTTATCCAAAGAGTCATTCATTGTCTCAATATTTAATTATTTTGCCATAAGTATGAGTTATTATTTTGCTTCCCGACTATTTTTAGGATCCAATGACACCGGCAAGAATGGTATCAAAAAAAAAATAGAAAAAATGGTTAATTTTTTTCATGTAGTTAATATCCAATGATTATCTATATTTATTGAGAAAGTGTAAATTTTAAGATTATTTACATACAATCCAGATAATTTAAATATTTGACATGATTAGTATCCGCGCATCCGCGAGGGTATTAATACTAGTACAAAATTATATTTGGTGTTTCACGATTATGCAAATTTTTGATGAAATTAACCTAATATATAAGGAAAATACAATAGCTTTCACATTCTTTTCCAAAAAGCAAAAAGAAAAAACGAAAAAAAAGGAAAAAAAGAGAGATTGTATACGTGGAGTCTGGAAAGGATAGTGTGTACGCAGTCTTATCCCTACCCTATAAAGGCAGAGAGGTTGTTTCCGAATTAACAACCTAAAGAGAAAGCATAAAATTATGCATAAAAATAAAAATGAATTAGTACCTAGAGCGATGTTCTTGTAAGAAGTTGCCAATGGAGAATGATTTATGAGGTGTAAAGAAGCCAAATGTTTCTCCAACAAAGGGCAAGCCCATGCTCCCACTAGGTAAGCCTTTAGGCTCATGTTTAACAAAGAAGAATTGGTGAAAGATTAAGATAAAAGTTACAATACCAAATAAGAAAGCTAATATCATCATTTGAAGAAGCACAATGATGATATATATTAGCCAAGAATAATTTTAGTACTAACAATTTAATTTTACAGTATGGTGTATCATTTACTGCTATATATATAGAGAGAGCGCCTATCTATCCAATATTGCAATCTAGATAAACCAAATCTGAATGAGAGATTTAATGATTATTTTATCAATATATAATAAATTTATTCATTCAATATTAAATGACTTACCTTTTACAATTTTAGTTGTTCTTTTCTTAGTAATTCACAAAATCTCCTCGGAAAAACTAAGATTTAACAATTTCCCTTTATTTTTAGCTATGGGATATTCGAGGTTCATTTATGCTAATAACTTTCAGAAGCATTGTACTGGGTGATTTGGAACTCTCCGAGAGTCGTTGTGACTTTGGGTATTGTAGACGGATTAGAACTGATGAAGTTGAGAGGGCTATGCGTAAAATAAGAGGGGCAAAGCGATCGGGCCGAATGAAATCTCAGTGGAGTTTTGGAAGAGCACGGGCAAGGCAGCCTTGGAGTGGCTCACTAGATTATTTAATATCATTTTTAGAACGAAGAAGATGCTCGAAGAGTGGAGGTGAAGCATGATAGTTCCTATATACAAGAACAAGGGTGATATCCAAAATTGCAATAATTATCGGGGTATCAAGCTGCTTAGCCATACTATGAAAGTCTGGGAGAGAGTGGTAGAGCTAAGGGTGAGGAAGAGTGTATCTATTTCTGAAAACCGGTTTGGATTTATGTCGGGGTGTTCGACTATAGAAGGCATTGACCTTATTAGGAGATTGATGGAGCAGTATAGAGAGAGAAAGAAGGACTTGCATATGGTGTTCATCGACCGAAACTTAAGGGTAAGTTCTACAAAGTGATAATCAGACCAACGATGTTGTATGGGGCTAAGTGTTGGCCAGTCAAGACCGCTCATATCCAAATGATGAAGGTAGTACAGAGACGAGGATGTTGAGATTGATGTGCGGGCACACCAGGTTAGATAGAATTAGAAATGAGGTTATTCGCGACAAGCTGGGTGTGACCCCTATTGAAGACAAGATGCGGGAAGTGCGACTTAGGTGGTTTGGTCATGTGAGGAGGAGTAGCGCAGACGCCTCGGTGAGGAGGTGTGAGAGGTTGACATTGGAGGGCCTACGGAGAGGTATAGGTAGGCCAAAGAAAAGGTGGGGATAGGTGATTAGGCAAGACATGACGCAACTTCAGCTGACCGAGGACATGACCCTTGATAGGAATGTATGAATGTCGAGGATTAGAGTAGTAGAGTAGGTAGTCTAGAGTGTTTATAACAGTAGTATTGGCATGCAGTCTCCTTTCTTTTGGGCAGTAGGTTTTTATGACTAACCGTTATTTTCTTTTAATGTTGATCACATTACTGTCTTGTTGTTTTTATTCTGCTTTTATATGCCTTTTTAGCACTGTCCGTTCTTGTTTATATTTTCATTAATGTGGTGCTTATACTTTCCTGAGTCGAGGGTCTATTGGAAACAACCTCTCTATCCTCATAAGGTAGGGGTAAGGTTACACACTACTCTTTTCAGACCCCACGATGTAGAATAATAATGGGTATGTTGTTGTTGTTGTTGTTGTTGTTGTTGTTGTTGTTGTTGTATTTA